CCCCAAAACCCCAAAACCCCAAAACCCCAAAACCCCTGACTGTTGGTAAAAAATTGAACCTTTATTTAGGATGATACCTAGCAGAAAATGAGGGGATCAAATTCATGAGAACTTGGATATTTGCTTCTGGATAAAACCTTCTGAACATTTGATCGAATTCTTCAATGGTTGCTATAATTAGAATTAGACCAACTCGTTTTGAACAAATTACATGGTGAATTTATAACAGTTAACTATTGGTGTTGAAAAAATACCTGGGAAAGCACATAATATGGCCAGAATGTTTTGTGTATCTTTTCTTCTTTTCTGCCAGCCAACTGGAGGCTTAACCATCTCCAAGTTTGTAGCATCCACAAAATTGCATTGATGAAAGAACAAATATTTAACTGAGTCCGAAGCACTGAAGATTCTCTTTAGCTCCTTCATTGATATCATAAAATAGTTAAAATATAGTTTTTCCAGTTTCAGGGTATTCTTCACGATCAATGGGAGGAGCCATCCAAGTTTACCACCCTCATTATTAGCTGAGAGTTCCAAAAAGTTGGTTTCGTGTTTAAGTGGAGAGAAATATTTTTCATAAACCATCCTATCTTTCTGCTTATCTTTGACTACTGATAACTTCTTGATGTTTGGAAGTCTCAGAGAGCCGAACTTCTTCAGATATGGTTTCTTGTACACATCCTGATTAGAATATATCACGATGTAACACTTCTCTTGTCCAGTAAGAAGAGTCCAAGTCTTTCTGCATGCACCCAACCATGAATATAATATCATCTAAGTCCTGTTCTCTTTCAAAGATATTCTTCTCAACTTTGTATAGAGTTTTATTTTATTGTACCTCAAATTCATATTAAATCATTAAAACGTTCCGATTGTAATGTAGCGCTTATGAACCCTTTTACCAGTCAGCACTTTCCACCAATGTTTCAGACGCTTGGTGATTGTCATCTTGACCTTGGGCTCCTTGTAGCCCTCTGAATGTTTGTAGCATAGCCTGTTAGGATAACTTATAGTCGCCCTTCAGACTTCGCAACATGAAGAAGCTTTCATTTTCTAAATAAAATTTAGGATTTCAACTAAATTCTCGACTTATGGGGTTTTGGGGTTTTGGGGTTTTGGGGTTTTGGGG